TAAAAAAAAATTAAAGATACCTTCCAGCCATCACCTTCAAGTTAAACACACAAAAAGAATTCGTTCACAAATACTTAGAATACACTCAACCACCAAACTAAACCAGCTAACCCATGTTTCCACAATACAAGGATCACCTAAACTCTCATAAGTCTAGGATAACCTAGAGCTCTGATACAAAACTGTCACACCCCAAAATTTGGACAATTAAATATTAAATTATGACTAAACCCCAATCAATATTCCATCATCCAAATCCTAAGGGTGTAACAAAATCTAAATGTTCACGTCTCCAGGATTTAAGTAAATTTCCATCCTCAAAAGATTACAAGAGATAAAAAAAAACTAACAAAACGTCAACCAAACCATCCACAATAATTTCACAACTAACCAATACATCTAACATTAAAGGAATAATAAATAGTCAAAATAACTTAAATAATGTAAGGTTACAAACTATGCCAAATTATCAAAATACTAAGGTTATAAAAAAAATAATAAATACAGAAACTAATATCAACCCTAAGCTCAAGAAAACAAAGAAGTCCAAACGACATGCCCAACAACTATAGTTATTTCTCTTCACCACTGTAGTCCCAACTAATCTTGCAAAGGAAGCTCGGCTACGCTCAAACAAAACGCACTCAAGATGCCAAGAGACAAAACGGGGTCAGTATACAAGTACATTGGTATGAGTACAAGATTTGACAATCTGGTGACACCAACAAAAATTACATTAATTCTTCTTACGGGATAAGATAAGTAGTTTCACCCGCACCGAGATGAAGGGGTAGTTTCCCGAGATACGGTGGCATTTAGTTTCTTGCATGTACACAGCTAAATATAAATTGAGTATAAAATAAACAAAATAATTATAAAATTATGATAGCCCTACATAAAAAGTTAGTAAGACCCACTATTCTGCAAAAAAAAATTAAGTTAGTATAATTCAATTACAAGTAACTTGCTGAAGAAGTATAAAAATGCACCATTTTATGCTTAAATAATTTGAATTGAGCAAAACTCAAAGAATAAAAATTGTACATAATCAAATTTTATAAAAGGTTAAGCGAACAAATTTATTAGAAACTGAACAGGTTGAGAGAAAAACTTGATAAAAGAACCTAGACAGAATTCCACCGAAAAATCTAAAGCTGAAAACGAAAAGAAACTTCCCTAAGATGATTTTTTTCGGAAAAGTTCAAAACACTAAAAGTGTGCAGAATAATATTTTACTTCAGCTTCCATGAAACCAATAAAAATGAGCTCGTTTCGTGGGTTAAACCAGCATCTAAAGTCTGCACTACTAAAATGAATAAAAATTATTGTAACTAAGATCATCCGATTACAAGTTTTAATCGATCTTTTTAATAAAAAGTTAAAACACAAAAGTTGGCTAGAATCACGTATACATGCCTCACCTCAAACTTCATAATTTATTAAGTTCGATTATTATTTGTTGCAAGATGTACGAATCAATACAATTCAAACTATACATATAAGTTCATATTTAATTCTTTATACCTTAACTCTACCATTTCGGCCCTTCACTTCCGGCCTACACATATATCCCATGTGCCTCCCATATACCTAGCACCGCTCTGAAGCCAAACATGCACAGGGATATCGTCCTGAGTTTGATCCACACTCCCCAGATGGCTAGCATATACGTACGTGCGTAAATCAAAGCACTCGTCTCATGAGAACGAGGCAACAATATATATATACACACAATCTCTCATCTATTGATGAGAACAAACATAACAATGCCAAGCCTAAGACATTCAAATAAATCTCATAATTCTCATTTTTTTTTCTTATACACTCTTACTCACTTTCTCACCATCACTCAAATAAAACAACAATTCATGAAGTCATTGTGGAGTATAAAAAATTTATTTATGGGTTCCAAGTTTATTTTAATTTCATATATCCATGAGTGTGATTACAACCATAAAATAAATCCATATAAAAATCCTAAACATGGCATATACAACTAATCAAAATAATTAAAATCAATCCATCATCTACATACAAATACAAAATCAAACCATCATCAAATAAGTACAAACAATAAATTAAACATAAATCAATAGAAGTAAATTTTACACTCACAATATTTTTTTTTGAAAATTAAAAAATCACTTAAACAATTAATAAAACCATCAAAATAAAACCCTAACCCCTTTTTTCCATTCATTTTCCTCCACCGGCCGTCTCTCTTTTGTTTGTTTTTTTTTTTTCTTTCTCTTCTTAACAACAGCCCATTGTCAGACTCTCTCTCTCTCTCGACTGTTGCGTCTCTCTTGGAAAACTTCACACACTTTTCTCGACTGTTGCGTCTCTCTTGAAAAACTTCACACACATTTTAGGATTATAATAGCTTAAGGTCAAGTTTGAAAAGACTAAATAAGTGTATTTTTTAAATTTTTTTATATTATGTGTAGAAAAAGTAGAGAGAAAATGTTGATTAATATGACCCAAAAAAGATAAAAGATGAAATAAGTACACTTTTTTTTTGTTAGTCAAACTTAGCCTAAGTTTAATATATGATAACCTATTAACATTATATTATATTTATATTATAAAAATATAACATAAATACAATATACATAAATATAAATATAATATATATTTTATCAATATATAAATATTTTTTTTTAAACAATATAAATATATTAATATTCGGATTAATTATTCATAATTAAATAACACATTAAATTAATTAAATATCATATCAAATTCTCATGTAACCACACAGTTAATAAAGTCAAAAATAAAGTAAGATAATAATAATAATAAAGACTTATAAAAAAATCAAGATTGCTACAGTAAGTTTTTTGGAAAAAAAAATACAAATTTAGAGACAAATCTTTACCCTCTATCCCTACAAATGCAGCCCTTAATTCCAATTTCGTACCATTAGTATCAAAACAATTTACAAATTTAGTTTGATCGCATCAGTGGATAATTTTTGGGAGACTTATATATAAGTTATAATAGATGAATTTATTATTTAATAGGTCTTATGATAATTAATAATATTTTTCATCAAATACTATTTTAAAAAGTCACTAATTCTTAATTTTTAACAATAGTTTGAAAAATTTGTCATAAAAAAAATCACTAATTATAAGTTTTAGCAACAGTTTAAAAAAATTGTGACAAAAAAGTCACTAATTTTAAACTTTCAGGGACAATTTAACAAATTAGTCATAGAAAAACATCACTAATTATAAGTTTTAATGACAATTTATAAAAATCGTAACAAAAAAAAAAAGGTCACTTATTGTCAATTTTTAACGATATATGAAAAAAAATATCACAAAATATTATTTTTAACCACGATTTTAGTAGAATTAATTTTCTATAAAATATAACAAGAATTAAATTTAATTATTGAAATGTACCAGTAGTTTAACCATAGTTGTCAGCTATCTGAATTAGGTTCTTGGAAAGTCCTATATTGTGGGTTGATTTCGTTTCATAAAGTTTTCCTAATTAGGTTCTTGGAAAAAACTTCTTTTTTTTTTTTTATCAACAAAGAAAATTCTTTATTGATGAAGAAAACATACATTACATATGAGATAACATCAACAAGGAAGAGAAAGAAAAAAGGACAAGAAAAGAAACCGAGCATAATGTTGGTGAGAAACCAACACAAGCTTATAAGACCACAAACACTTGAAGCCAAAACCTAAAAACTAACTAACAAAACTTATACTCACTGAAAACTCCAGCTAAGCTTACTTGAAGCCATCCTTCAACCTTTTAAGACCAAACCCTCTTATTTGGATCTCTCTGTTCTTTAGCTCTAGCTCAATAATCTTGTTTAGCACATCATCTTCTTTCCCATTGAAATTGATGCCAAGAGATTTACCTAATTGTATAGTGACTTTAGCTTCATCGAGAAGAAGATTGTTCGGACTAGTAACACCCTCAGACAGATCTAAACGTGCAATCGCAGCTGCAGCTGGTCTGAAAATGACAGACCTAGAAGAGTGCTTGCTGACTGCTACAGCTTGGTGCCCATGAAGCCTAGCAAAGCCGGTGAACCCCTCAAGTTGAACCTTCTTCTTTCTTTTCCTCTTCTCATTCCGCAGGAGTTTTGGGACAGAAGCAAGTTGCCTAACTAAGCCTGACTGATTAAGACTCAGAAGATCCTTCTTATTTAAATTCTTACTAAGAGCTTGTGCCAAATCCACTTCAAGATTGATACCGAACCCACTTCCATCACGAGATCCACTGAAGCTTTTAATAAAACCAGGAGTAGATACTTGCTCAACAACAAAATTAGGACTATGTACTAACTCCTCCAATATGGTCTCCTCGATAACTGTGTTTATCTCCTCGCCCAAATGACAATCATTAGACCCTGACCTCTTATCTACCTCCTTGGTACGTACTTCCTCTTCTCTGATGAACCTTCTTGCGGGTTGATTTCTTAATTAGGCTCTTTGGAAGTCCTATATTGTGGGTTGATTTTCGTTTTATAAAGTTTTCTTAAATGCATTACTTTAAATAAATAAATAAAAAATTAAAAAATACTTCCAATTGATAAGAACAACTTTAGCTTCTTTTTTTTCATTTTAAAATATTTTTAAAAGCACTCTGATTTTTTTTCTTACAAAACAATATGGCCAAATTATAAAATAAAAATAAATATATGAATACAGAAATCGATCACAAAAGATATATAAATGAATAATTTTTAAAAAAATTGATCCCATTAATAAGTTTTATAAAATTTCATTGATTTATAATTCTTCCTTTCTATATTTAATTTTCATAAGTGGTGGATTGACTCGGCAAAGTCATGCCACCAGCAAACTATAATGGAGGAATTATCTCCTTACCTTTGGCCCTATCTAATTACCATGATCACTGTTTTAATTTCTTAGTGCAAAGGTCACCAGGTCCAACTTTGCGGGCTGATCATAGGTCACCAATCTATATATAAATGGTGTTGCAATGCCACACTTATTGTATAAACCCTACTTACAAGAAGAAAAGGAAAAAAAAAAAAAAAAACTAGCCATGGCTAACATGAAGTTCTTCTGCTTTTCTTGTCTAGTGATTCTAACAACCCAACACCTACAAGCAACCCATGCAGTGGAATACAGTGTCACCAACAGGGCAGCAACAACCCCCGGTGGTGTCCGATTCACAAACGAAATCGGACTCGAATACAGCAAGCAAACCCTAATCTCTGCCACAAATTTCATTTGGAGGACTTTCCGGGAAAACTCTCCGATAAACAGAAAGAGCGTGTCGGGAGTGAGCTTGTTCATTGACACTATGGACGGCATCGCCTACGCTGTCAATAATGAGATTCACGTCAGTGCCAATTACATACAAGGGTACTAATGCAGACTAAATTCTATCAATTATTATTATTTTGAAATTAATAATTTGTTTAAAAAAATTTAATTTTGTATAGAATAGGCTAATTTATTTGGTTTCTTATTTCTTATCAATTTAGTTTTCCTATTTCATGTGTTTTATTTATTTTAGTACAATTAATATTTTTTCTTTTAGATATTTTTCACTAACAATAATTAATAATTTCCTTTGTGGATGTTATTCATGGTGAAGTAGGTTCTTTTAAAATAAATTTCAAACAATTTGCTGAAATTAATAATTTGTTTTAAAAATTTTAATTTTATATAGAGTAGGCTAATTTATTTGGTTTCTTATTTCTTATCAATTTAGTTTTCCTATTTCATGTGTTTTATTGTTTTACTACAATTAATATTTTTTTCTTTTAGATATTTTTCACTAGCAATAATTAATAATTTCCTTTGTGATTGTCACTCGTGGTGAATTGGGTTCTTTTAAAATTGATTTCAAACAATTTGTTAAATCTGTTAAGGAACAATCCAAACGGCCCCATACTCTACGGTCAATTAGTACTAAGGTATTGTTTGATACAACTTATTATAAATTACTAAAAACTAATAATTCATAAAAGTATAAGTCAAAAATATCTTTTACCTAACTTTTAAATTTTTGTTGAATTATTAATAAATTACAGAGTATTTTTTTCTATATAAGGTACTCCGGCGATGTTAAGAGAGAGATTACCGGAGTTCTGTATCACGAGATGACACACATATGGCAGTGGAATGGGAATGGCCAGACCCCTGGAGGATTGATAGAAGGAATTGCTGATTTTGTGAGGTTGAAGGCTGGATATGCCCCGAGCCATTGGGTGAAACCCGGTCAGGGTGATCGGTGGGACCAAGGTTACGATGTTACAGCCCGATTTTTGGATTACTGTGACAGTCTAAGAAATGGGTTTGTAGCAGAACTTAACAAGAAGATGAGAAATGCTTACAATGCTAACTACTTTGTTCAGTTGTTGGGCAAGACAGTTGATCAACTCTGGAGTGACTATAAAGCTAAATATAAGTAGGCATATGCTTTCTACTTTATTATGACTACAAGGCTAAGTATTTGAAATGTATGAATAACAAACACTGAAAGTGTTGTAGTATTGCTGGTTTTCTAGTCTTATTGGCAAATAAATGTTCAAAACTATAGTAAAAGAGTAAAATTATGATTTAGATATGGCTCCCTGCAAGGCTTTTGCTGCAAAAACTTAGAACATTGAAGAAAAAAAGTACAAAAATACAAAATCAGCTTTACAATACCCTCTTTGCTAGGCAACCATAGCTCAGTTACTCAACTCAGTCAATTCCATAGTTCTAAATCACGGTATTGGGTAATATAACGGTATCGATCGCAGAGTATTAGTATCGGTAGTATCGACCGGTACGTATCGGGTATCGGGCGTCGCGGCTGTGAAATTTCAAAAATCATTAGCAATCCATCTAAAACTCAATTTTATGCATTTTTTGACTCTTTTAGCCTTAATTTATCACATTTTAATCAAAATTTTGATATGTAGAGACACTTTTTTGACTCATTTTCAATTAAATGATATGTATTTATTTTAGTCTCAACCTTTTATTTGGCACATATGTTAAACTTTTAATATAAAATTGATGTAAAAATATTTTTTTACTTATTTTCAACAATGAAATACTTTCACATGCACAACAAATTAATAACAGAAAGAGAGACATGAAAATAACTTTCACTAGAACCACCTCCATGAGCTATTATAACTTTCAATTATCTACAATAACAGTTTTCAATTAACAAATAATGTAATTCTAATTTAGTTAGTAATAATAATGCATTTAAAATAAAAATAAAAAATCTAAAATATTAAACATCTTTTCTTAACAATTAAACCTCTTTAAAAAAATCTGACAGATTAAACCTCTATAAGAAAAATCTGATATAAAAATAATTTGAAATAAAAAGATTTGACGGATTAAAAAATCTAAAATAATAAAAAAAAAATCTGAAATAAAAAATCTGACAGATTAAATCTCTTTAAATAATGTATATAAAAAATATATATATTGAGCATATGTGTATTTAAAATATATATATATATATAATATTTTTATATATATAAAATTATGAGAGAACAAACCTGCTCATGAGTTATAAAATTATGAGTTCTATTTAGCTTCTGAACTTATGTGCATTTAAAATTATATAAAAAAATTGCTTGTGAGTTCTATTCAACCTCAATAATATATATAAAAAATTATGTGCATTTAAAAAAATAACCACAGAAAAAAAAACAAAGCAAAACAAAAACAAATTATAAACAAACCGAATACCACTTAAAAAGCAAAACCATGACTTCTTCAGCCAAAATAAAAAAACAGAGCATCACATATATATGACTTCTTCAGCCAAAATATACAAACAGAGCATGAGAGAACAAACCTTCAACAAACCTTCAACAGAGCATCAGTCGTATCGGACTGTATCGGAAACAAATCGCTTACGTATCAGATTCAGGCCGATACATATCGAGAATCGGCCGCTACGGACGCGAAATTCATTCTCGCCGGTATACCGGTGAGTATCCGACTCGGCACTCCCATTTTCCGGTACGAACCGGCCGGTATGGCACGTACCGGCCGATATTTAGAACCTTGGTCAATTCTGACCGAGAATGAATAAGTGGCATAGTGCTCAGGCATATCGGTGGAGTGAAGTAAGAAGAGATCAGTTTCCTATTTTGCATGAAGAAGGGTTCAAATACACAGCACAAAATAATACTTACGGATTGTTTGGTTAACTTAAATGAGTTGTTTATAATTTATTTTAATTTAAAAATCCATATCTGACTGTTTGTATCTATAACTTAAATAAGTTGAAAATTTTTAATTATCGAAAAGTTAAGAGAGGGATGATTTTAATTTTTACTTTTCGATTATCAACTTTAAACTTATAATAAATTGACCAAATAGACCCTTAAACATTAGAGAGTAAAGTTCACTGTTTTTGCTGCAGACAGCAAATCATCCCCACCCCATTTTATGCTTATCCACTCCACATCATCTTGAATTAGTGTATAAATTGGATTTTTTCTAAAACACCCTCACTTATCAATTCTTGAACCTCCATTATCTAACCTTTACCTTTTCCTCCATTTTCCCACTGTCAATAATGCTTTGATTTGATTATTCTTTTGTGTATTATTCAACGCTGCGCATAATTGTACAATTAATTATTAATATGAGACCGGTATTTAATTTGGTGAGCATGTATTTCGTAGTTTTTTGAGTTGTTTACTACAAAAGACTGGAGTTAATGAAGTGGGCTGGATCGAATTGGTGCAAATTGGACTATCATGAGCCTGGAATTGGGTCAAACCTAATCGTACCGTGCAAGACTCACAACTTGATAAACCCACCCGTATCCGACTAAACCAAAGCGGGCATGGTTAGCTGGGCAAAAGGGAGAACAAACTTGACCGAGCAAGGATAATTTACTACAACAAAAAATATTTTTGGTGACTAAAATTGTATTTTTCGTCGCTGAAAGTAGTACAATTGGCGACTAAAATGGAATTAGTCGCCAAAATTGATCACTTTTGCCGACTAAAAGAGTTTAGTCGCCAAATATAAGGATATTAGCGACTAAAAGGCAGTTTAGTTGCCGAATGTAGGGGTTTTAGGGACTAAAGGTTGTTTGGTAGCCAAAGTCACGGTTTTTGGCGACTAAAAATGATTTAGTAGCCAAAAGTGATGGTTTTGGCGACTAAAAACAGTTTAGTCGTTGAAAGTGAAGCTTTTTGGCTACAAAAAAAAAAATTAGTAGCTAAAACCAATCCATTGCCGACTAAAATTCAGTTTAGTAGCCAAAGGGGACTTTTTGGCGACTAAAAACAAGTTTAGTCACCAAAACTGCTTATTTCTAGGCAGAACTTCATTTTTTAGCGATTAAATAATAATTAGTAGCCGAAAATGATAGAATTGGCGACTAAAAATTTAATTTAGTCACCAAAAGTGGCCTAAATTTTTTTTAAGTAAATAATTTATATTTTACATAAATTATATTGAATTAAAAAAATTATATTTATATATATTATGTTGTATTAATACCGGTTAATATACTATATAAATAATATATATTGCATATATATTCATGTGATGTTGTAGTGAACAGGATTATACGAGGAGAATTATTTCCTCCCCGTACAATTTATATATATTATGTTGTATTAATACCGGTTAATATACTATATAAATAATATATATTGCATATATATTCATGTGATGTTGTAGTGACGTAGTGGAGGGAGTGTGTTGCAAAAAGGTTCGGAATGTGGGACGGTTGAGGTTCGAAACTCAGAAAAAGCAAAAAAAAAGTGGGTTTTTTTTTTTTTGACGGAAACACCTTTGGCGACTAAAATTATTAGTTGCCAAAAGTCTTTATTTTGGAGACTAAACGGTTTAGTCGGCGATTGAGTGAGTATTGGCGACTAAATTATTAGTCGGTAAATGTATGATTTTCAAAAGTGTAAATCACTATTGGCGACTAAAATTTTGGTCGCTTAAGACTTGTATTTTGGCAACCAAAAAAGTTTTAGTCGCCAATACCTCCGCCGACCACATATACGCAACAAATGTGGCGACTAAAAAAATTTGTCGGGGAAAGTAAAATTTCAACTTTCGGTGACTAAAAACGGACTTTTGACTACTAAAAATTTAGTCGTCAAAAGTATTTTTTTTTAAGTGATTATTATGACTGAACATGGAAGGAAGGAATGATAAAGCCCGGTTCATTCACATACAAAATAGGATCGTTTACTAATTTAAAAAAGTTAAGGCAAATTGCAGCAGTAGTTGATATACTTTGGTTACTGAGTTTTTTGATCTCTATAATTTTAATTAATTTAATTTTAACCTTAAATGTATGATTTTAATTCAATTGATTTTAACTCTTACATTTTTTTTATAAAAAATATGTATATAAATGCATGTGTCATATTTTTTGAATAAAATTATAAATTTATTAACTTCAGTGACTTCACCTCAATTAATTTAATGATTATTTTTATTCAAAAATATTAACGGAATTATCAATTAAATTAAATTAAATTGATATAAAATTAAAAATTAAAAATTAAAATTATATTAATTAAAAATATAAGAATCAAAGTAATACAAAATATAAAATGTAAGGATCCTGACATAATTCACCAAAAAAGTCAACTTGTTTTTGGAGGATAGAATTCCCCTAGAGGTTGGATGAGAAAGAAAAATACGGTTTAAATTTGTATGATTTGAATAGTTTAAATATATCAAAATGATATTATTTTATCTTTAAAATGACATTGTTTTGATATATTTAAATTATTTGAATTATGAATTTTTGAGAAGTATTGCTTGAGACCTCAAATATTTTATCAAAAATTTTATCAAATATGGTTATGGGACCTATGTGGATCCTATGTGGATCTCACACTCATGCAAAACATTTGATAAAATTTTAAGAGAATTTTTAATATTAATTCACCCAAAAAGTCAACTTGTTTTTGGAGGATAGAATTCCCCTAGAGGTTGGATGAGAAAGAAAAATACTTGGTGGTTTTGTATGATTTGAATAGTTTAAATATATCAAAATGATATTATTTTATCTTTAAAATGACATTGTTTTGACATATTTAAATTATTTGAATTATGAATTTTTGAGAAGTATTGCTTGAGACCTCAAATATTTTATCAAAAGTTTTATCAAATATAGTTATGGGACCTATGTGATCTCACACTCATGCAAAACATTTGATAAAATTTTAAGAGAATTTTTAATATTTTTGATTTTCGAGCCACCAATAATTAATGGATGAGAAAATACAAAAGAGAGGAGTCAGCATATTTTGTCATATTATATGTTTTTTCCACAGGCGGAGGCAAGTGGGTCCTCATGGGAAAAAGAACAGTGGTTTCGGCCTCATTGTCTTGATTATTCCATTTTTTTAGTTGTTAAATAGAGGGGATGTCACGTGATTTTTTTTATTGTGATTAAATTTAATAATAAAATTTATCACAGTTATGTTAACTGTTTGAGAGATAATAAAGATATATATATATATATTTATAATTCATGGAAGGTAATACTTAATAATGTCACGTGATACGCTCTCTTTCATATAAAAATTTCTCGATTTGATGATAATAAATTGAATGAATTGAAATAATTAATATTAAATAGTAGAATATTATGAGAGGGAAACACAATAAATATGCCGGAAATAAAATTTCACATAATGAGAGATTTAGATAATTATTTTTTTTATGCATATATCATATTATGATAAATTCAATTATAATTATACTAATGAAAATCAAATAGTGGGGGTTTGAGATTTTTATTTAGTAATTATTTTTTTACGTTTTTGCTTCTTTAGTGAATTGTTTTTAAATTTTTTTAAAAAGTTTTAAATTCTAAATTTAGTTCGAAAAGATGAATCAAAAAATTTTAAAAATCTAAAAAAAAAAAGTCCAGAAAAGACAAAAATTAGTGAATTTTTTTGACTTATTTTTTCAATTTTTTTATATTTTTTACTTTTTAGATTAATCTACGGACCAAAAAAGTAAAAACAATTAAATAATTTTGAAAAAAATTATTAAAGACAAAAAAAAATTCAAAAGTAGATGTTAGATAACTTTCCAAATAGGGCCAAGCTACTATTTTTTTATTCATATATCATATTAGTACAATAAAGTAATTACAATTATATATGATATTTTTATTTATATAATATTTTTATTTATTTATATATGATATTAAAATAAAATAATTATAATCCGAAAATAAAAAAATTCAAAATGAACAACCCTAAAATACAGAGATTCTGATCAAAGGAGCTTTGGATATTGGTTATGAACTTCACGTACTAGAATCCCCAATTATCTCATCCACAAACAGCTGAATATTCCGATCCGATGAACCACCGTCCGCCACCGCTACTCTCGCCGCCACCTTCAACTCCGCCGCTTTTTCCCTAAACTCCTCTGCCTCCGGCCCACACATAACATCTTCAATGCGCCTCTCCACCTCCTCATTAGTCACCACACCGTCCTGGTTCGGCCTCAACCTCACCCCCACCCTTAAAACCTCCGCCATGAGCTTCGCATTCGTCGGCTGGTCCGTCCACTGTGGATAAGCAATCACCGGCACTCCGGCGGCGATCGTCTCCAACATCGAATTCCAACCACAATGGGTCAAAAAACACCCAACAGCAGGGTTCATCAGCACTTTTATTTGAGGACTCCATTGAACCACTAGTCCTCGGCCTTTCGTTTCCTCCAAAAACCCTAACGGCAGCTGTCCTTCTCCCTCCTTTGCCGTGTAGTCGGATTTTTTCACCACCCAGAGAAACGGACGGTTACAGTTTTTCAATCCTGTTGCGATACTCTCCATTTGCAGTGGCGATAAAATTACTACACTTCCAAACGACACGTAGATAACTGAATTTGGTTGTTGTTGATCAAGCCATTCGATGCAATTGTCTTCGGATTTCCACATTTCAACACCAGCGTCGACTGCTTGATCTTCTCCTAAAATCGATGGCGGTACTAACGGGCCAATGGGTAGAACCGGGTGGATATCAAACATCGAATCGATAGCTTGGCTTTCGAGTTCATGGAATGAATTAGCCAAAACCCATTTCATCTTCTTCATGTTTTGAAACAACCCACAAAACAATTTTGGAAAACTACCAAAAGGATTCGATGGAAGAACAAAAGAAGGAAGATCCTCTGTGTTCAACAATGGAAGTCCTGGTAATTCAACACTCATATTAGGGTTCGCGGACGATGGAAATTGATTTAAATGATTATAAAACCGGTAATATATAGAGTAGAGAGAACATGGCTGAATCCAAAGCAAAGCACATGGGATTCCATGCTCCGCCGCCACGTCAGCAGCCCAAGGAATGAAGGGGTTGGTGACGATGCACGAGAATTTCCGGCCGCCGTGAGAGTGGTGGTGGAGGATTATGGAGGAGAGGTTAGCGGGGCCGGCTCGGCCAAGGGAGTCCATGTAGTGGTCGAGATTGGTTTTGCGGTCGTAGTCGAGGCTGAGGCCATCGGAGAAGAAGGCGAGGCTGATACCGTCGATGGAGTTGGCGGCGACGGCGGTGGTGGTGGCGGAGGAGGAGGTGAGCATGCGGTGGCGGGCGATTTCGGTGGTGGCGAGGGTGACGTGGAGGCCTTTGGAGTGTAGGCGTTTGGCTAGTCTGAGCATGGGGTTGATGTGGCCTTGTGATGAAAATGCTACCATTAGTACATGAATCTCTTCTTTCTTTTCCATGGCAGCCATGGCTAGAGAGAGAGAGAGAGAGAGAGAGAGAATGGTTGGTTGAGGGAATGTTAGAAGGAAGTGGTGGGATAATAAGGGCTGCAACCACCGTAGGCAATGACGCAATCACAGTGCACCACATCATATTGAGTGAGATTTTTACTTTAATATTCTTTTTGGATGTTGAATTTATAAAATCATTTTTAAAAAATTATAAATGCGTGAATTTTTCATTAAATATTTACAAATGAATGAAATTTTAATAATTTTAATTATTAAATTTGATAAAATTTATTATTGATTTAAAATTTTATTTAGAAGCGTACACTAAAATATAACTTTTTTAATAATTTTTGTACACAGTCTATGTTTACGTACTTGATAGTGTAATTTACTTCTTATAAATTTATTTTATGTTTATTTTGATAATTTAAATGGTTTATCTTATAAAATTTATTAAATAAAACTGCTCCAAATTCAGGCTGAGTAAGTTTCAATCTTAAGGTGGTGTTTATTAAGTGATTTTAGGGCTAAAATAGTCACAAAAAATAAAATAAGTTATTTTAGCTATAACAAACAAAACATTACATCCAACCCATAATCATTATTCTCTTCCCTCACAAAAAAAATCAAAAAAGTCAAAAAGTCAAAAAATTCTTTCCAAACTAAGCTTTTTAACCCAGACTAAAATAGCTAAAAAAGTCAAAAAATTAACTCACTTCCCAAACGGAGGCTAAGTCTATTGGTTGACTTCTAAAAAATATATAAAATAAACTAATTTAAAAGATTTAAGAGATTTGATTAATTTAATTAATGTGATTGGTCCATTTTTCTTCATGCTATAGCAAGCAAGGCATCCTTTTGGGAGTAAAAAAAAAAAAAAAAAACTTGCAAGTCATCATTTTGATAGGAATGATGTTAAAAATATTAAATTTTTTATTAAACAAATAATTAAATATTTCACATATATATGAAATTTATAATTTTATAAATTTTACACTTATATAAGATATTTAATTTTTTATTTTTTTAAAATTTATAATATTTTCTTTTTACGGGACATCTCATGCTTCGACTTCTTCAAAGTCTTGTCAATTAATTATTGTCTTGCCAGTGTTTTTTAGATGATAAAGTATTGTCTTACATAAATTGACAGGTTGTCATCTTGTCTATTAAAATTTAACTTTATCAATAAAATAACGCTACAAAAATAAAAATTCAAACATAGAGTTTTTTGAAAAGTTAGTAAAAAATTAATTTTTTAATTTTTTTAATTTATTTTGTTTTTTTATGAATAAATTATGTGAGAGATGATGTGAATCAAAATGAGTAAAAAATTAGAAGATGTTTTTTTACCAATTTCTCAAAATACTTCATAATTTTTATAAATAATAATGTAATTTATTATGAATCTTTTATTTCAAAATAAAAAATTATTAAAAATAGATTTATTTATAATAATAATATTATCATATTATTTTTGTCAAATTTTTTATATAAATTTTATGTATTATAAATTTTTCTTACCCATATGATCATTATAATTATGTATTATAAATTATTTAAAATAATTCTATCTTTCATAAAAATAGGAGTGAAAATTGCGTCCCATATCACAAATTTCACTAATACAATATAAAAATTTCATCTATGTATCTAACATTTTTTAAAAAATTTCATATCACGTACTTGATAAATAAAATAGGTAATTTTTTTAATTGCCAATTTATATTATGTACATGACAATTTCATATCACTTATAGTTAGTGGCTTTTTGTGGTTAATTTTTTAAACTATCACTGAAAATTAAAAATTAGTAACTTTTTTGTAATGATTTTTTTTAAATTGTCGTTAAAATTTATAATTAGTAATATTTTTTGTAACAATATTTTTAAAATGTCGTTGAAAATTAACAATTAATAATATTTTTTAATAGTGTTTGATGAAAAATGCCATTAGTTATTATAAGACCTATTGTATAATAAATCCATATATTAGGACTTATACGTAAATCTCCTAAAATATAATCATTGTTTATATTTACACTAAAATTCCTTTTGTAGTATAAAAATTGAGCAAATATTATTTTATCCTTTATAATTTATTTCATGTAAAGTTTATTTCGTGTTAGTGTTTGAAAATATATGCACAATCCCTCATGGTTGATAGATTAAAGACCGATTGGCTAATTAGTCATATATTTTAGACTTATAATTTATATAATATATATATTTTTTAATTTATTTAGTTTTTTTAGATATATAATGATTCATTTGTCTGTCACGTTGAAATGTCACATTTGGAAAAAAGTATACTAAGGAGTTTTTTAGTGTTACATCATACTCGCCACATTGGAGTTTCACATTTGAAAAAAGTACACTAAAGAATTTTTAATTTTTTTAGAGTGCCACATCATACCCGCCACATTGGAGTATCACATGCCACATTTGGAAAAAAAAATATACGAAAAAGTTTTTTTTTTTAGTGTCACATCATTCTCGCCACGTTGTCACATTTGAAAAAAATACACTAAAGAGTTTTTATTTTTTTAAAGTGTCACATCATACCCGCCACGTTGTCACATTTATAAAAAGTACACTAAAGACTTTTTTATTTTTTTAGAGTGTCACATCATATACGTCACTTTGTCACATTTGGAGAAAAAAAATAAACTAAAGAGTTTTTAGTTTTGAAAAATGGGTGGGTGCTCGAATTTCGTGGGTCGAAATTTGGGTCGAATTCTAAGAGAGGGAGAGAAGAGAGGAGAAGGAGAAGAGAGGGAGACGGGGTGCTGGTTCTGCCGATGTCCTCGTCGCCTCGCCGTCCTCGCTGCAGCTCTGCCTCTGCCTCTGCCTCGCCGCCACACCTCCGCCCCTGCCTCAGTCCCGAGTTTGTTGGCCCCCTCCCCTCCCCTCCTTCTCTTCCTCCTCTCCCCTCCCCTCCTCCTCCTTCCTCCTCCCCGCGTCTTCTTCTTCCTTCTGCTGAAAAAAAAAAAAAAAAAATACAAAGATCAAAACGACGTCGTTTTGATCTTTCGACCCATTCGACCCACGAATTTTCGAGCTACCAACCAGGGTTGTTTAGTTTTTTTGAAGTAAAAGTATTGGAGTATTATATCATATCCGCCACATTCTCACTTTTGGAAGAAAAAAAAATACATTAAGGAGTTTTTAATTTTTTTAGAGTCACATTTTTGCAGTGTCACATTAATACCTATCACATTGGAGTATCACATCATACCTGTTACATTAATAAAAGAGTAAAGTTGTCCATCAAAATACTATCAAAATAAAAAATAAATAAAACTACACGAAAAAAAACTCTCCACTAATAAGACTTAATAATGAATAAAAAAACCTTAGAACTAATTAGAATACTTATTTAGGAGATGAGATTATTGATAAATATTCCTGAACTAAAATGCACCATTATTAGGTATAAAACACGAGTCTGGACATAAATGAATTATGAAAAAGTATTGTCTTATATAAATTAGCAATTTGTCATCTTATCATTATATTTATGTATTAAAATTTATTTAAAATAATTCTATTTTCATAAAAATACCAGTGAAATTTGTGTCCTATATCACAAATTTCACTAATACAATATAAAAGTTTCCTTTATATATCCAGCATTTCTTTTTAATTTCATATCACGTACATAATAAATCAAATAGGATTAATTTCACTTTCATCTCTTGAAATATCTTCTTCTTCTTCTTTTTTTTAACCTTGGATTATCAACTTCATCTATTTATTTTCTCCAGGAGGCCGTATCAATAGCTCTTATTCCAAGTTCAACGGTTATTAATTTGTACAATTATCTCTAATTAAATCACATAAAAAATTAAAAATTTTAGAAACTAAATAAATAAATGAAATTGATAGTTTAAAAAATAAAATTGAAATTAATTTAAATAAATAGAAAATAACATATAATTATTACTCTCTCTGTCCCAAAATATCAGTCTCTTATTTCATTTTTCATTGTCTCAAAATATTAGTCATTTTTCAAAAAATAAGTACAAAAATAATATAAATTTCTTATTTTGTCTTTTTTTAAATTCATTAACAACATAAAAAGTATAATTATGATATTTTATAAAAAAAAATATACTATCAAAGAATAATTTTATAAATTTTATTTTTTTAAATGTAATAATTATATTATTAAAAAAATAATTTTTTTTAAAAAAGAATATGAAAATTAGGGGGATTAGTGGGATGTTTTTTAGGGGATGTAGCATGACCCTATAAGATTATAGTTGTGTGATTGGCCACTTGTGCGTTATGTCACACGCACCATTGCTTTATGGGACGTTGTCAGTTTGTTCATTATAACATGTAACGAAATCAAGCACAGCCCGTAGCGTCAACATCATCGAAACGATGATAAATGGAAAAATGCTTGAGAGCACTAAAAAGGGATCACTAAAGAGAGCACTAATGATGTGGCAGTGGGCCCCGGCTACTTTCTATGCCTTGTTTTTATTATTTTATTTTATTTTTTATCATTTCCAATGTATTAGTGCTATTAGTGGTGTAGTTTTTAGTGGTCTAAATCATTGTTGATGATAAATGGGGTCCGCGTCATGTCCTCGCCATCTTCGCCGTCAACGTTTTGCACTGGCCCGCTGGCGTCCGGATCCTCTAGAGTTAGTCTCTAGAGTGATCTCCTGAAGTGGATGATCGAACGGCTGTGTATCAGCATCACCAAAACGACGTCGTTTTGGTGAGGATTTTCCAAAAAAATAAAAAATAAAAAAAAAATCAGCATTTTCGATTTCAAAATTCCCCCCAGGCTGAAGAGGTATATCAGACGAACGGGAAGAAGCAGAGCCGTGAAAGGAGAGAGGGAAGAAGACTGAGAGAGGCGCGTCCGGATCCTCTAGCCGTCCCGCAGTCGTCCCGTCGCCCCACCGTCGCAGTCGCCACTGTCCTGCCGTAAGCTTCGGTCTCTCTCTCTGCCGTAAGCTTCGGTCCCTCATTTCATTCCCTATCCCGTCGCCCCATCTTGCTAAGAAGTTAGGGTTTTGTATTTCATGTATTGCTTAAATCGTTGATTTGCACCCTTTA